TACGCCGAGTTCGCGTACAACAACAGCTATCATTCTTCCATTCAGATGGCTCCTTATGAGGTACTTTACGGTCGCAAGTGTCGTTCCCCTCTCTATTGGGACGACGTCGGAGAGCGGCGAGTACTCGGTCCTAAGTTGATCGAGGAGACAGCAGATCAGGTCGAGTTGATCCGGCAGAGACTCAGGACAGCTCAGAGTCGTCAGAAATCTTCCGCCGATCATCATCGGCGAGACACTCAGTTCGAGGTTGGCGAGCCAGCCTTCCTCAGAGTTCGTCCGATTCGCGGAGTTGTGCGATTCGGAAAGAGAGGGAAGCTGCACCCTCTGTTCATCGGTCCGTTCGAGGTTCTCGAACGAGTAGGCGAGGTCGCGTATCGTTTAGCTTTACCTCCCGAGTTATCAGGCATTCATAATGTATTTCACGCATCGATATTGCGTAAGTACGTGTGCAACCCCGATCATGTCATTCCTCATTCAGATATTCAGGTTCAGTTAGATCTTTCGTACGAGGAGCGACCAGTAGCCGTTCTAGACCGTCAGGTTCGTCGGCTCCGGAAGCGAGACATTCCCCTCGTGCGCATTCAGTGGGATCGCCACGGAGCTACTTGGGAGGAGGAGTCCGATATTCGCGCTCGTTTTCCAGATTTTCAGTTCTGATGTACATATTTCTTGTTCCATGTACATAGTTCATGTATTTTCAGTAATGTTCTGAATTTCCGAGGACGGAAATTTTGTAAGGAGGGAGGATTGTAATATCCCGACTTTTTATCAGTATAAATAATATTTTTAGTTCCGATATTTTCTCGGAATTAATTATTTTCAGTTATTTCAGTCGAAATTACCGGAAATTGTTTTCGACGTACAGTTTACGTCCGGAATAACTTTGGTAATTAAGTGTTATGCTTAATTAATTAATTAAGCTTTAAATTGTGATTAATTGTAATTAATCACCTAACTAGTAGCTTAAGCCGTGCGGACATTCATCAATCTCCTCCAAATTGCCGTGTGCTTTCACATATATGTGTTATGTGTAAGTGTTAGTAATATTTTGGTCCATTTCATGTGCAAGAGCCGTGTGTTTAAGTGTGTGCATTGGAGTGTATTCGGTCCAAATTCATTTGATATTGCCGTGAGATTAAGTGAAGTGTGTTAGTGCATTTGTCCAAGATTCTCCTCCCAACATGGTCCTTAGAAGCCGTGCATTCTTTTGTATTTTTGTGCAAGTCTATGTGCATGGGGACTATCAAGTCAAGAGAGGGAGCTTGTCATTTAGTGAGCAAAGTGCTTAAGTAAGCATCTTTTATGTAAAGGCCGAGCATAGTGGTCATATGCATGCTTTCGGTTTCCTCATGATTAATTAATCCTAGTTTTGGAGTGTAATGCATGGCATTTTGTATTTTAGTGTGTTGTGTCCAAGCATTTATGCATGAGTGCTAAGTGTCCATAGCCTTTGACTATAATCTCTCCCTCACCCCCATTTGCATTCGGCCTTTATTATAAGTGAGGCTTTGGAATATTAGTTCCATTTTTTCTTCTCCTTATGCTAAGTGCCGAGAGATAGAGAGAGCTAGTGAGGTTTGAGTGTTGTCCGCGAGCTATTGTCGAGAGCATCCCGCGCACCACTCGGTTAATCGCAAGCAGCGAGTACCGCATCGCCGTAGCCATCCGCACGGTAGTCCGAGACACACACACGGCAACGCTCACACGCGGAGAGCCACGAGCCATCGCACGCTACGCCGCGAGTTATCGCACGAGTACGCACGCACGCACGCGGAGGGTCACGACCGAGAGCGGGAGTTCGAGTAAATTAGTCTCTTGAGCTTTATAAGAGGTAAGTTCTCGACGGTTGTTGACCGAGCCTATCACGTTTATTTAGTTCGATTTTCCCGTTAGTAGCATGCATGCGTGTTATGTGCGAGAAGCCTTAGCCGTGCCAATTATTGTCATGTTATAAGTTAATTCTCCGAATCATGCTATGATTTTATTCGAATTCTCCGAACATTCCTCGCATACTTAGCTTTTATATGCAAAATCATGTTTGGTTTAACTTAAGTGTTCGGATGAATTTAGTCATGTTGATGGAGTTTGGTCGAAGGAGTGTGGTCGCACACTTAGTGCGCACCACGGACCACCCGAGTGCTATTGCATGTTAAGTTCGAACCTTTAATCATTATGTGTTATCATGTTCAGCAAGTCATGTCTAAGTTCAGTAAATTTGAATTGCCGAGATATTATGTGATTCGGTCGTTAATCGGCACGACGCCGTTGGCGGCGCACGGCGCGCCCGCCACGGCCATAGCTCAAGCCTTAGCGTGAATCTTCATGTTTTCAGTATATTTATGTTCATATGTTCATGTCATGTTATTTGAAGTCAGTTTGTTCGGAGATGAGGAGTGAGAGGGCGAGCTGTTCAGGACATTTATGATTATTGTATTTTATGTTGAACCACGCTATGTTTCCGCTAAAACTTTTCGGTACTTATTATCAAACTTTGCTCCGACATTAGTCGGATAAGACATTATGACCGTTTTTATGTATCAGTTTAAATTTTAACGGTTTTCAGAAAATCAAGTTTTTCACGGTAGCCCCCGAATCAGTTTTCGCAAAATAAGTATTT